ATAATAAAAGCATTTTGTATTTATTATTATATTTCAAGTTTGAAATGTTTTGAAAATCAACAAAAAATAAACTAATAATAAATAAAACCAAAAAACGATGTTTTGAAAATCACTGTATAAGTTAGCAGCTATTCACTAAATTGGTTGTAATAAATTAAATAAGGAAATGGACCAGGATTATTCAATCGGATTATCTCCACAACACAATTAAAATGGTAAAAATTGTCGTCACATTTATAAATATAACATTTTTAATGTTTTCACTCAATACAAACTACCGGAATAGCTGTTGACTAAATTATATCAAACTGAATGTTACACAAAAACATCAAAATATAATGCAAACAAAATTCATTTCAATAAAACTTAAAAATCAATGTTAACCTTATGGGCACAAAACAAAACATACCTGTGAGCACAAACGAGTCCAGTTGTTGACACTTATGAACAAAATACTGTACAGCCCTGTCATCCAATCTCAGCCGCCAGCCATACTCGCCGGTAATGGCCAGTCGTCTCAGACCGAGACACTGGGCGGCAATCGTCCGCAACGAATGGCCATCAATAGCCGAGGGCTCGTCGTAACAACGCTCCTGGTGGAGGGCCAGGTCCTCCAGGTTGGCCAGGGCTGAGATTGAGCTCATGGTGTCCAGTGTTTGGTCTTGCGGGCAGTAAAACCGTATGGATAGCCGGCGTAATGAGTGTCGCCACCGGCCGAGTGGCCACACCGGCTGATCGACGCAACCCTTCAGCTCCAGGTGTCGGAGCGTTGTGTTACTCGACTCCGACAGTGCGCTCAGTATTGGCGATATATTCACGTCGGCGTTAACACTGCCCGCGCATAGAGTTTCACACGCCTTGCCTTTTGGTTGTCATTATGGGAGATATGAATAACATTATAATTATTTATTATAACTTAACTGATATTTTTATTTAATAAGTAATTTATGTTAAATAAATAAAATCATTAATATTTTTCAACAGGCCTAATTTTATGAGCAATATAATTAGCGTTTTAAATGTTTGTATTCTTTATAGAATATTCTGTAAAATTCTATAGATTCTATACATTATATGTAATTAATCTATTAATTTTAATATTATTTCATCAACATTCTAACTTATAAGCATATATAGCTACAATTCTAACATGTGTCAAAAATAATTTACCCAATAGGCGAAAACTAGCGCCGGTAATGAGCTCGTTGTCGGACACGTCCAGATAAATGAGTTCGGGTAGCGATAGTAATATCACTTCACAGTCGCTATCATTAATACCGCAATCTCTAAGAGTCAACGAATTGAGGCTCAGGCTATAGGCGGCGCACAATAGCCGCCAGCCATAGCCGGTAATGCCGGGCCCGTAAGCGCCGGACTTGTTATCACTATTATCATCACGATCGTTATTATTATTAATATAGTTATTGCTATAATAAACACGTTTAGTGCCGGCGCACGACACCAGGGTAAGTTGCGATAGCGATCTACACGTATTGACCAGCGCTAATACGTGGGCGTCACCGGCCGTGGCGTTGCGCACCTGTAGGCTATGGAGGGCCGGAAAATTGACCATAAGCTGATGAAAACGCTGAAACGGCATACGCTGTCCGCCGGTCAGCACAATCGTGTCGACGCTCTCCGGCGGCCAGTCGTGCGAGTATTTATCGCCCGAACCGGTAGTTTTATAGTACATGTGTAGCCGCCGGACACCGGCCGACAGTTTGTCGACAGCCGCTCGCCATCGATGGCACACCAGTCGGCACTTTACCCGCTCCCGGATGGACAGGTGGGCCAACACGTGCATCAAACAGTCCATGTTATCGCCGATTCCATCGCCGCCACCGCCGCCTCCCGGAGTCGGGCATTCATTGCCGGTGCCATTATATCGATGGTCGACTGTACCGGTCGTGCGCTGATTATGGCTATTATAGATAGCGTTGAGATTTTTCCACATCATTAGTGTTATGGGATTATTATATGTTTTATTATTATTATTTTATTTCTTATAATGTATTTAAAAAGTCACTCAAAACGATATTTTATTTGTATAGAGATATAAATGTTTGAAAACTTTTTGTATTATTTTGTTTTCAAAACTTTCCTTTGATATCAAAAATGTTATTTCGCAGACAATAACCAAAAATAGCATTCAATTCATGTACAAAAAACACCGGACAATAGCCTTAAAAGTCACGAAAGCCTTTCATATGCGGTAATATTATATATTTATTAACAATAAATGTTTATTAAACATGGTAAATATAAATACACATTTTATATTTCTATCGCAATGAATTCAATATAAATTTAAACGCAAAGTAAATACAACAAAAAATATTTAACCAAAAATAGGCGTGAATTATATACACAGGGAATAAATACACCAGAATGCTAGGTTTTCAGCACAATATAACCAAGCTTAAATATTACACTTATAAATACAAACAATACAACACAATGTGGTAACTTTAATGGCAACCAACAATAACACACATGTTAAGTCAAAATGAGCAAGTCACTTCACTTTATAATTAATACACTGTGTATAAGAGCACTTATTGGTATATATTTTGTTCAATCAATATTATTTAATATACATTTATATTTCTTTATTCACTTTCTTATGTGTTTGCAATTCGTATGAAAAATCAATGAATGTATTAAATAAAAGACTTTCACTTTATTATCCAGCGTTTGGCTAATAATGTATGTATTTGTGACACAAAACAACAAAGTTGTTTCACCAGTTTCACCAATCTTTATTTACTACTCTCTCCCATTCTCTCTCTCTCTCTCTCTCTCTCTCTCTCTCTCTCTC